GAAATAATGAGATAAGCACTGATGATTAATGATGTTTATCCTTCCATTTTTTCCCTCCATGGGAATATATACTTAATAAAAGGAAGGTAATCATTCCTTTATATAATGTACTATTAATCTGCTTTTGCTCTTAATGCATTATAAATGGATTTCAATGTCAGTAGACGTTTTTCCACCTAATTATTTAATAAATTATATGACTGTAGCATAATTTATTTAATTAGTTCCCAGTTGGATATTTAGATTGTTTACATTTTTCACTACTGTAAATAGCCTTTAATAAACATCCCTTTAACTAAAACCTAAATCTTACCAGATCTTCTAGACCCAACCTAAGTGCCAAGTACAAATAAATTGAAAAGAGGTGCTCATTTACTCTCCTAGTACTATAGTGTGAAAAGTCAGTTCTCACCAACAATAGATGTTATTATTTTTTAAATGTTTTAAATTACTAACTGAAAGAGTGTATATTTTTATTTGCATTACATTTAGTTGCTAGTGAGTTTAAATTTTTTTTATATTAACTGCATTTCTGTTTTTATGAGTTGTCTTTTCATGTTCTTTGCCTCTCCTTTGACTTGTAATTTTGTTTCTAGTAATCTTTTGCTTCTTTTTTTTAAGCCATGAGAAGTTTAATTTAAAGAAAAATTTGTTGCCAAATCTGTGCATCTTTTTGTTTGTTTTTTGCTTTGGTACTGTACTTTAATGAAGGTCAAATATTATACAGGCACATATTGGTTTTTATTATTTTATATTTACATTTAAATATCTAACCATTTGGAAGTCATTTTGATGTATATGAAATAGAAACCTAATATTTGAAAAAAGACTATTGAGTTTTTCCATCATTTATTACATAATCTACTCTTTCTTCATTGAATTAAAATGTCATACTTAAATATGACATTTAATATAGATTAAAATATTACATGCATTTAGACTCGTTTCTGGACTTCTCAGGTAAATCACTCTATTTCTTTGTTGTCATATCTTATTATAACTCTGATTTAATGTCCAGAACACACGTTATTCTTATTTTTCAAATTTTATTATAAATTTCTGTTTGTGTGAAAAATATCTAAAAAATTGGCATTACAATGTCTCTTTTGTCATATTGTTTCTATGAATGGGATAATTATCACACTAATTATCATGTTTGGTATTTAAGAATCTATTTTCTTGATACAGTCTAGATCACTTATTAAAATTTCTTTCTCATTGTTATTGAGATAATCATAGCTTCTTCTCTAGTCTATTGGTATCCCATTAATTAATTTCTGATTGTTAAGCTATTCTAGTATTCTTGAGACAAAGACATATAAAGTATATTTAAAATGAGAAGACATAATGATGATGATATTACTAAGTAACCACACCTAAGAGAAAACAAGGTAATTTTAGAGGTTCTTCAATTAATCATTGTACTTATATTAGAAACAACTATGCTTTGGGTTTAAAGTGGTAATCTTTAATGCAAACTTATTTTGGGATAAACTCATTTACTATAACTACATCCAAAATGATTCTACACACTTAGCTAAGGAATCCTTGACCTGTCCCAGGGTACTACACAGACTCAGATCATATATTCAGAGATATTATTGCTAGAGGAGATCTTCAAGATCTGTTTGCTCCACCTCTCAGTTTATCAGTGAGAAAAATTATCCAGGGAAGGATATTGAATAAGGTGACAAAGAGGGAGTAGTTAATGTACTAGGATAAGAACTTGAGTTTCATGATCCTGAATTCATTGCTTATTTCACTGTCAAGTTGATTTAAACATTGGCATTAGGCTTTATTATTATTATTTAAGTGAATCATTAAGTGAATTCCATCTTGGTTTTTGTATAAGAAGTAATAAAATATTTTATTAAATATTCAAATAACTTTACACTTATCCTCATTCATGCAAGGCTGTTTATTCATASTGTTTCATGAGGTGGCAAATCAGGAAAGTTTTTGTGTCTCTGAAAATAGTCTAAGTGACAGAGAACTTGCAGCTTGTATACACCACGAATATAGGGCTTTTTCTCCAGGGGTGATTTTTATAAAGACTGTACTTCATAGAATAAGCTGCATATCAGTTACCTCTATTTTCTTTTCCAAATAAAAAAATCAGGTGATATGTGTAATGGTTCTATTGTAAATATTAGAGAACATGCTGCATAAAACAGATTAGTGAAAACTATAGGAGGGTGGGGGATACCTGAAGTGCTGATTTTGTCCTTGAATTGTAACAACTCTATGTGGTGGTGAGGATTGTGTTGATTTGCTATTAGCAGATGGTCCTTTTATTGGAATATTTCTACAAAAAATAAACTGTATTTTGTTCTATGAACATGTGCCCTTCCAGAGTAATACCATCAGCATGTTTGTGAAATTGTCACTGTCATTCATAGGATGAGTATGTCCTCTTTTGGTTGAGGCAAAATGACAATAATGTAAAATTGACATTTCATTCAGCTTAATACTGAATAAAATTTTAAATTTTTGTCATAAGTTGTGACCAAATAAAAATTCAGCAAATAATTTTTTTAAAGAGAGAGAGAGAGAGAGAGAGAGAGAGAGAGAGAGAGAGAGAGAGAATTTTTAATATTTATTTTTTAGTTCTCGGCAGACACAACATCTTTGTNGACACAACATCTTTGTTGGTATGTGGTGCTGAGGATCGAACCCGGGCCGCACGCATGCCAGGCGAGCGCGCTACCGCTTGAGCCACATCCCCAGCCCAAGCAAATAATTTTATTGTGATAGAGGTGGCAGGTTATGAAAAATTATAATGGGGATTCAATAGCAGGGAGTTTTGCTTAAATCACTTGGTAGGAAAAAACTTATGCAAAACTGTACATTTCTAATTTGAAAAATTCTGTGCCATAGCTCAATAGCTAAAAATATTTATCTTTTACCTCAGTTTGCTCTTTTTAGCATTGCATAGAAAGGAATTATTCCTTAGAAGTATTTGAGTACTTTTGCTGCAATATGTAGTTATAAGTGATTATGTATTCTTGGATATAGTTTTTAAAAGGAACCTCTTTCTCTTTGAAATTGGTTCTGAAAAAGAGAGATTTTTTTGTTATACATGATATAAGCAATTGATTTCATGAACAGCAGTCATGGTTCATACTCTTCCAATTATTGTCTTACAATGATCAAGAAATGATGCTTTATCTTGTATGCATGGGAAACACTAATGTTCCCTGCTCCCTGCTTTATGGCCAAACAGAATACTTCTAACATGAGTAGCACATACATACAATTCAAAAGAGTTATTTTATTTATTTATTTTTGGTGCTGGGGATTGAACCCAGGCTTGTGCATGCAAGGCAAGCACTCTACCAACTGAGCTATCTATATCCCCAGCTCCAAGAGTTCTTTTTTTTTTTTAAAAAAAAAAAAAAAAAACAAGTTTTCTTCAGTGAATTTGGTAGACTATTAACAGGTTATATCTGGCCAAGATGCTAGCAGTTTCTTCTCAGTATCTACCTGTTTGATGTAATTGAGCTCGTATTTAAAATATGATTATATGAGAGAAAAGAATTATAATAGTCCACATTTGTGATGACTTTGGAAACTTTTTTAAGAGTTTCAATTTTTTTATATTCAGAGTCTTAGCTTATACAGTTGTGAAATAAAGTATGAACTACAGAATGAGTAGCTACACAAAGCTATGTGTAGATTATAATTGTCTATGGGGAATGAAGTTGATGTAGAAAACATGGCTATCTGTTGAGAATGTGAGGGCTAGTACTGGGAATTTGCAATTTAGAAAAGACATTGTAGAGAATGGGGAAAAAAGCAAATTAGGGAATAAGTGGATATTGCTCAGAGTACTGCTAAGCAATAGCAGGGTGGGGACAGTCAGGATTGGAAATATCACTTGAAATGAAACCAATGAGTATAACATCTTTTTGTAGAATTTAACCCCAGATTTTCCTTTTACTAGGTCATTGTTAGACAAAATGAGGGATTACACATTTTTTCCTTATGAAGGAAATTTATCAAGATGGGTAAGAAGAATTAGGCCTCCTTTTACAAATCTATTCCTATATTTTCAGGAGGAAGGATAATGAATTGGATGGACAATTTGTTTTTGTAGTTGATCGAAGACTCTTGAGGAGTTGATGAGTTGTTGGGAACTGGCCTGAGGTGGAGGAACTGGACAGACTTCTTCACTGAAGTCCATGCTATTCCAGGTTGAGAAGGGAATGGTATCCCTGGTGGCTGGCCTTAAATTCCACTGGTGCTGACATGCTCCTCCCTCCTGTCACCAGTTCTGCTATGTGGTAGAAAGCCTTGAGTAGCTCTGTTCATCCTGAAAATGAAGCCATTGCTCAAAACACTTTTGAAAACTCTATTTTGTATTATTTCATGTTGACTCTTTGGCCTCAGTTTCAACAGCTGTAAAGTAAAAATAAAAAGACTCCAAAAGTTTTATGAAATTAAATGGGAAATATTTTAGGAACTGTTCAGCACCGTGTAGGTGTTAGTAATTAACAAATCATTTCAGAATGTATACCTTTACTTTGTGGTTATTATCCACCTTTAAGTTAAAAATATACATAAACTTGTCTTCAAATTACTTTTTCTATGATCCAAAATTCAAATGTGTGTGCATGTGTGTGTGGGGTACTATGGGTTGAACCCAGGACTCATGCATGCTAGGCAAGCATTCTACTACTGAGCTATATCCCCAGCCCTTTGTATTTTGTATTTTGAGGCACAGTCTTGCTAAATTGTGCAGGCTATGCTTAAACTGATGATCCTCCTGCCTCAGCCTAAGTAGATGGGATTACAAGTGGGCGCCATCATGCCCAGCTCAAAAATCTTATTTGAAAGTATCCAGATATAAAGACACTGTCCGAAGTTTCATAGACGTTTGACCCTCTCTGGAACCCCATTTTAAGTCCTTCTGTAAAGATTAAATCTCTTATGTTGAAATTGTGAGAGCATTTTATGAAATGGAAATTAACTTCATTTTCTTTGTTTCTCTCCTTCTTCAGGAAGTCACCAAAGCAGTACAGCCTCTCTTACTGGGAAGAATCATAGCTTCTTATGATCCAGATAACAAGGCAGAACGCTCCATCGCCATTTACCTAGCCATAGGCTTATGCTTGCTCTTTATCGTGAGRACACTGCTCCTTCACCCGGCCATTTTTGGCCTTCATCACATTGGAATGCAAATGAGAATAGCTATGTTTAGCCTGATTTATAAGAAGGTAATACTTTCTTGCACAGTCCCCAGAGTACATGTATTCTCCTTGGCACGTGTCTTAAATGCCACAATGTAGGTAATGAGCTGATACAAGTAAGGGCTAAATTCTGAAATTAATTTTGTATGCCTGTGAAATAAATGACAGGAATAACTAATGTTTTTAATTTTCTTTGATAATTGAGTTACTTCAACTGATAACTATTAAGCATCTTTTGTAACCTGTCTGTATTGTAGGTTTAAGTTTTAGTCATGTTATTCATGTTTTTGTATTTTTTTCCCCTCAATGCTTCAAATTGCTAGGCAAGTGCTCTGCCACTGAGCTATACCCCTATCTATCAATATTCTTGGAATCCATGATTCCTTGCTAAAATGGCACATAGTGTGCATAAAAGGCAATGCCAACATATCATTTGATGGTAAAATGCCATTTGCCTGTCTTTGTGTTCACTAACAAGAGTATAATGTGCTATCATTATTGATAAATCAATCAATGAATTTCCACCTTAACTACTTGTCACCAGTGGGGACCTTGTTTCAAGTTGCGATATTTATCCCCTATTTTATTTTGAGTTGGATCTTTGTTATCCTATGAAAACTTTAAAGTTTTTGAAACAGCCTATGCATGAGATCATAAGAACTTACTCTGCTTTTCTGTGTGTAGTATCCAGACAGGAATCCAAGTTGCTAAGGCATGATTTAGGCAAATTCAAATGAACATTTAACTATCTCCTAAACACAATTGAAGGTCATTTCAATGGCACATGCTTTCCTCAATTTGATGCAATACCATATGTGATTGCTGGGTTCTATCAGGCCATTAAAGAAAGCTGTATTGATTGAATCATTTATATATTGCTTTATTCTTCTTTTCTTTTTTCTTCTCCCAGTATAAAAACTTTACAAACTTGGCTTATAAGGGGTATGGATCTGGAATTCACCTGCAGTGAACAACCCATAACACTTCCATGATACACATACAAGGTCAACTGTGCTGTAAAACCTTGATAGCCATACTTTATTGTTCAAAACAGCCTTTTATGGAGGCAGAGGAAAAAAAAAAAAAAACAGAGTCAGGTTTAATAGAATCACCTTAACTGCGATCTCATAAGTTCACAAGTCCCAGAAACACATGGGTGACAAAATAATAAAATGTTTATTTTAATCTAGAAATTTTGCATAACTCAAAAATTATTAGGCATTATTTGGTACCTATATAACTTACTATTAAAAATTTTGAATTTAGCTTAATAATATTTATAAAAAGTACTTATTATCGTAATCATAATAGCTAATGATATGCACAATAAGCTTCTAAATGGTTGAGGGATGTGATCTCATTTGATCCATAACTCCATATGGTAGGTACTATTATCCCTATTTTATGAATTAGGAAACAAAGACTTAGAAGCATTGAATGTTATTCAAAAACTACTTCCAAATATCAAGATAGATAAATCACATTGTCTGAAGTGGAAGGGTTTCCAACCATTAGGGCAAATGACATAAGGATTGAGACATAATCATGAAGGAAAAGGTAAACGAGGTCAAATAAAGAGCAAGGCTAGTTGTCAAACATATGTTATTCAAGTAACATTTAATGAAAATATATGTGCTTCAGACTCAAAATGCATGAAGGAAAAATTAAAGGCTATTGCATTTATTCTTTCTCAATGTTGAATGCATGTGTCCTTAACCAGTTTGCTTTATCTTGCTAGTTATTTAGTGTCCTTCATTGGCATCATCACCAAAGAATGTGATTTCGTCTCCATGTGGCTCTGACTTGGCCCCTAAAGTAAGCCTTGTTTTGGCTCTTCTCAGGTCTCAATGTTACCTATGGCCAAGCTATTCATCTTCACAGCAGGGACATGTAGGACTCATTCTATATTTCAAATTTTGAACTAAAGCCTTTTGTTTTGTTCCAAATTCTGTAACCATAGCACATTATACTGGAAATAATGAATGTAAATGCAAACAAAATTGAGTTTTGCCTCTGAACTTAAAGAAAGCAGAAATAACTAGATGGATGAATATTCACTAAATGCTTACTGTGCACAAAGCTCAGTGGGGTACCCTGTGCAGAACTCAAGTTCAAGCCATATGTAAACTAGCTCAGTGGATCCTTGCCCCCAGTATTGCTCTGATAATGTTTTAGTATTAACTTCCTTGATTCTTTAAGATACTCTCCATGATTCCAGATGAATCTGGGAAAATATTTCTAGACTGTCTAACCAGAATTGTGAACTTTCTCTTAACTACTCTATTAATTTTTACTTTCCTTAACTAACTTATCATATCATACTTATTTATGTACTAAGTTGCTTTGAGGCAAGAATTATGTTTTAATAAATTTTAATTCCTAAGATATCAAGTATAGTGATTTGTATCTACTAAAGGCTCAATAAATTTGTAATGAATTCAGTTGAAAGAAATATTAGACAGACGCTTTCCAGTCAAAGCCATCTAAAAGCAAATCAATTCTTATTAAATTTTGCAGGCAAAGCATTACTCTGATCTTTTTTTCTTTTAACCATGCTCTTTCATAATCAGAATTGATTTACCTATTTTAATTATTTAGCTTGTACTTAATAAGTAAAAAATTAAATTATCTACTTAAGTATTTTTCACGTACCGCTGCATTTTTCTTTATAAAATTTAAAGATTTTGTATTTTTAATATGATCTTTCACAAAATATTTAATAATTCAACTATTCATAATTACTTTTATTGATCCTATTAGTAGTTTTATACAAGAGTTAGTATAGACTTTATAAAAAATTCAAGGCCAAGCTTTTAGTTTCAAGTTTCACTGCCTTATGTTTTATTTTTTAAAAATAAAAGCAAATGAAACAAAACAAAACAAAAATCAAAAACCCCACATCATATACATGGATATTTAAGAACAATATCATTCCTATTATAAAAGAGAAAAATAGTAATTACTACTATCTATACACTAGAAGATAAATAGATGTATGTCCGGATCAGTATAATATTTTCAGTTAAGAGAAATATTTATAAATCTGAGAAGATCCAAAGCTAGATAAAAATAAGTAAATAAATTTCATTACCTTTACTTAAAACTGCATACACATAGCCTAATTCCTCAGCTTTATTATAATGTTACTAATAAATGTATTTATCTTTTTTTTGTTGATATTACCTAACTTCCCATTTTTCTTTTAGACTTTAAAACTGTCAAGCCGTGTTCTGGATAAAATAAGTATTGGGCAGCTTGTTAGTCTCCTTTCCAACAACCTGAACAAATTTGATGAAGTATGTACCTGGTGATTAAATCTTTTATGTGATATGTTAGAAATCATGGAACCCCAAAGATGGAGTTTTCCTGTGTCAGATAACAGTAATAAGTATTTAAGTCTTATTTATCCCTGCCTTGGCTATTTCTGGGAATTGAGAAAGCTAAATTGTGTAGCAGAGTGCCATTCCGAGGTCTGGTGGAACTGTCCAACTCAAAGTCACCTCAAGTTGCTCTTAATAAGATTTTCAAAACTTAATCCTTATTAGGCCTTGCTTCCTTTTAATACTCTAAATTCATTATTTACTTTGGCTAAATATGATACTGCGAGCAATTCTTATTCTGCGCTGTCTTATGTGACAAACAGATTCAAGGTCCTTGAGGACAGATAATGAGTTTTATTTACCTTTGCATTTCCAGTACTTACTGTAGCACTGGACCCAATCAAATGCTAAATAAATCACTGCTGAATTGAGCAGATATTTTTCTGAATACCTGTCAGGTAATAGATTTGTGCATTTCTATGTGGATGGAGCCCTGAGGAGAGTCCTTTATTCTCTCATGTTCTATGATGGTTCTTGCTTTATCCCCAAAGAGATGTTATTTAAATAAATTGTGGACACAATACTTAAGATATCTAGTCTCAATTTCACTGAGTTAAAAACATGCTTAAAAATGTGGTGACTTGAGTTTGTTCTTGGGAAAATCTAGTCTCTGTGTAGAATATTTGAGCTCATGGCTTTGTGTTCATGTAATGGACCCCTAAATTTTAATTTGCTAACGACCATGAAGTGTTTGTTTACATAAGTTCTGAGTGCTTATTTTGTTTTATATTTTATTTGATTTTTGGGAGTGGGGGATAACGTACCATTTTTTTTCTTGTGCTTTTATTTTCTAGGGACTTGCATTGGCACATTTTGTATGGATTGCTCCTTTACAAGTGACTCTCCTGATGGGGCTGCTCTGGGACTTGTTACAGGCCTCTGCTTTCTGTGGCCTTGCTTTCCTGATAGTTGTAGCCCTTGTGCAAGCTGGGTTAGGGAGAATGATGATGAAGTACAGGTAAGAATTTATCATCATAGCTTGAAAGTGTTTAAATCAGGTTTTCAAAAGGACCTTTCTAGTAAAATCAAGAGTTTTCTATGTACTGAATTATGGGGTTAAGAAGGAATTATTTTAGTGGTGTAAATATACCACTAGGACATTTCTTTCCTTGAAAGTCTATAGAATTTCTTTAAAATGTGTTAAGATTCAGTGCATTTTTATAATTCATAAGGTTTAGGTAAAAATTGATATGACATTTGTATAAATTGGAGGCAATACATAAAATTTGTGTAGTTTATTGACTTTAATTGCTTTTTTTTTTTTTTTTTTTTGGTAGTGCTGGGGATTGAACCCAGGGCCTTGTGCATGCAAGGCAACCACTCTACCAACTGAGCTATAACCCTGGCCCCTTAATCACTTTTTATTACAGGAAAAAAAAAAAAAACATAGGGATATCAGTTACTGCTTAGGTTAGAGGAATTCTAGAGTTTCAGCTACAGTATGAAAGAAACTATATAAATTTTGGAGTCATGTAGGTCTTTGCTTGAATCTCAGACTATATTCTTGTTTTCATCTGGTTTTTAAAATGAAGATAAACACTTCTCGTAGACTTTCATAAGGCTGAGGAATAGTGTATGGAATGCATGTAATACAGTGACTAATACCTAGGAGGCATTTACTAAATGGTAACTATTATTTTTGTAGCTTTTCTTAAAAGTTTGAGCAGTTCTTGCCCCCTTCCACCTTTTTTAACTTGATCAATTGATTTTCAGAGATCAGAGAGCTGGAAAGATCAATGAAAGACTTGTGATCACCTCAGAAATGATTGAAAATATCCAATCTGTGAAGGCATACTGCTGGGAAGAAGCAGTAGAAAAAATGATTGAAAACCTAAGACAGTAAGTTGTTGTGATAATTATAATACTGTTAATAACTTTATCCTTAATATTTAAAAAAGTCTATCACAGTAAATTTTCACCTCATATTTGAAGTTTCTGACAAACAAGTGTATTGAGATGTATCAATATTTATGCATTAGTTGCATAAGTTATTTTGATGTGCTGCAGTTTTACATAGTTGATTCAGAATTTTATTTTTCACTACAAGGATATTTATACCTTATTAAAGAATATCCTACATATAATCCCATACTGTGTAAATGATTCTCTATTATGACATTTTACTTACTTTATATGTTACAACTCACAAGATAATGAAAATAACTCTATTTGGAAAAATTATATTGATTCTTCCTTAATATAGGAAAAATGACACAGGTTAATACCCATATATTTTGCTCCTATAAACTGTACACGTGACGCAAAGTCAGGTCAATTAAAATGAAACCCACCTCCTGAGATAGAATCAATGAGTACCTGACATCTATGTCTAGTCTTCTTTTACCTTATATAACCTTTCACAGATTTTTAATAAAGAGTATATCTAGCAAAAAAAAATGTACAGCTCAGACTGAGATACAATTACTGAAACAATTTTGAACAAAATATGAACTAAACACATTTGCCTTTAGTTGAGTTCTGTGTTCTACAAACTGTTATCAAAAAAAGGTCCTAGAAGACTTTGTGGTTGTTGATAACACCACTGGAGACAAGTAATTTCAAGATGTATGTCACATGAGAGTTTCACAGGGAAAAATATACTGTAAAGGAGAGTACCCTTTTGGATGGCATGAATATGGATTATTAGGATTTTAGGCTGCTGAGTCCAGTAGACAATGATAACTGAGCTGCAGGTGTGTGATTGGAACAACAAATGAAATGCTGAAATGTAAAGTTCTTTGCCATGTAAATAGAAAGAGTAAAAGCATATTTATTTCCCAAACATTATTGGTCACCTGCTTTTGTTTTGCCTTTCAAGACAAATCCAGGAAAAGAATTGCATTTTCTTTCCAGAAACATCCTTAAAGATCTTGGGGGAATTTTTCAGTTGATAGAAGTTGTTCTTCTCATTAACAAGGGAGTTCTGTATCACTCTAGGCTCATTCATAGAGGCATCACATTGTCAGGCTGATAGGAGATTATCAGAGGATCTGGTTTTCTTAGCCCTAAAGATAAACTCATGGCCAGGTCATTCTTAGGCTGACTTTTCTTGACATTGTTTTTTTTTTTTTTCTCCCCCTTCTTCAAAAAATGAAATTTATCCCTCTATTCCGTATTCCTGTTTGACCAATTCTAATAGCAAATGTCTGGTTGCAACTAGTATAAAATCCAGCATGAAATTGTTACCTGAAAAGGCTGGAAAGTACTGACGTAAATATGGGAAAGCAAGAATTGCTTCTATTCAAGAGAGCAAATACAATGTTCTGAAAGAGATTGACAGGATACACTTTAAAGGAGTGATTACCCTAGCCTGGGCCATTGGAAAACTGGGCAAAAGGCTGTGCAAAGCTCCTTGGAAATCTACTCTTTTATTGCTCTTTGATAATAAAGTCACTTTCCATTTTTTATAAGAACCTGATAAAATATTTTTATGACTCCTAAACTGTTAGTGATTTTATTATGGTGAGTATTGCTTTCTGGATCAGTTGTGTAAGTGTTCTTGGATCCATTATTCTTTTCGTGTTTGACCTCTTCTTATTTTTCTCAATTGTTTCTAATATATTTCAACATTTTGACAATTTTTTTTAACATTGTAAACAGTATTTTCTGCCATCTTATAAATACCAACCTAATCAACCTGAATATTTTTTCCTATTAGAGGAAAGGACACATACTTTAGATTCTAGTAGTAGACCTTCTGCTATGCTGTCGTTTAATTTTGAGAACTCTACAAGGAAGGTGTGTTTCTCTTTAGATTTTTAGTCTATAAAACTAGAAGGAAGAGTGACATGCTTAAGGTGGCATAGATAAAATTGACAGAGCCAGGATTAGACCCAGGTGAGTTCCCAAAATCATAATCCATCTTCAAAGTCAAATTATTGAAGTAGCAAGTATTGCACATTATTAGACTGATTACAATGCACGTGGGACACATTGAACTTCACTTTCTTCACTGGTGTGCTCAGATGACATTTCCTTTAAGACAAAAAAATAAAAAAATAAAAAGCCCTAAAATTATTCCCTCTGAATTCTATCAAATTAATGAGAATTGCTTCTCTGAATTATACAAGTCTGTGGAACTTGCACCAAATTCCAGTGCTTTGCCATAGCACAGTTATTGTTCCCTCCCTCCAGAGCTCTCTATTTATCTATAGTGCTTTTTGACTGACTACCCAAGGACTAGATGGGGACAATCACAAGCAACTTCAATTTTTTATGGCTTCTGGAAGGTTGAAGGCCATGTTGTCCTCTATTCTCCATAGCCTCTTCCCTCCCTGCTTTCTGCCTGTTGGAGCATTTAAGCCCTCATACATGTGTTAAAATAGCTCACACTTGTAGTTCAGATTAGAGGACTGATAATAATGTAATATGAATGCAAATTATTACACTGAAAGACAGAGATAGAGAGGATACAGTGTCTTCTCCCAAAATTTTTCAAGAACCTTCTGCAACAGAATCACTTGGCTTCTTTTTCTAAAACAGATCTGGAAATAGTGGAGATTACTTAATCAGTATCTATGAAGATAGCCTGAGGATGCATTTTTAACAGCTTCTTGGGTGATTTTTGCCTATGCTAGTGTTTGAGAACCACTCTTCTGTCATATAAATAAATAAATCAATAAACATATAACATACATATATATGCATGTGTATCTTCACTGTTTCTCACACTCAAGCTACAATTTCTAAAATGTTAAGAATCCCATTAGGTAATCACAAAATTGTCTTTTTCTTTTATAAATCTAGCAACATTTTCCTCAATTATTTAAAATAAGAAACAACAAAAAAATTGTCAGCATCATAAGTCTCACATGTTAGTAATGAAGTGAATAAAGATATAAAATAACAATAATTAAATGACTAGTATAATTAAAAATAATATTTATAGGTATTTACTGGTACATGCATCATTATCCCTTTTTCAGATAAGATGACTGAGGCCCAGAGAGGTTTAATAACTTGCCCAAGTTCACACAACTCATAGGGTGGAGCCAGGGTCAGAACACAACAGGAAGAATGTAGACCTCATGTTCAGATTTTACATTCCAAGTGGCCTGATATTTGAAAAGTAAAATAACATCTTGAATTTTATTGTTATTAGTATAATTAATTTTATTTTATAGGACAGAACTGAAACTGACCCGGAAGGCAGCCTATGTGAGATACGTCAATAGCTCAGCCTTCTTCTTCTCAGGATTCTTTGTTGTGTTTTTATCTGTGCTTCCCTATGCACTTATCAAAGGAATCATCCTTCGAAAAATATTCACAACCATCTCATTCTGCATTGTGCTGCGCATGGCAGTCACACGGCAATTCCCTTGGGCCGTACAAACATGGTACGACTCTCTTGGAGCAATAAACAAAATACAGGTAATTTATCATAACTGTGTGTCAGTGTGATTTTGAAATGTTTCAGGATTTTCTAGCAAGTAAACTCTCTAGAGATGAATGTTTGGTCTTGGACCTACGTAATGCATGAGATTTCTTCTCTTGACATATATACTTGATGTAATGAGTCCTTGTAATGAAAATCTAGTGAAATAAAATGAAAACCTGTGATATTCTCATAACCCAAAGGAATTTAATCATTTTTGTAATCTTGAGAATTTCATCCAAGTGATCCGTGAATATATCTGTTCTTAGTGAACTTTGTAAATGTGAAAAAAAGATTGAAAAGGAAATTTCCTTCACAAAGAAGTTATAAAATTTCCAACTAATACCAGGAATGTTCACTTTAAACTTTTCCTAGCATTTCCAAGAGCAGTATAATGGATGACAATGGTATCTCATGCCATGTTCCTTAAAAATCCCAGCAATATTGATGTAGCTGGCAGCTGGGAAGAGTTCTAAAATCGTCAGGTGATGAGAGTAAATTTATAGAGAGCTAATTGGATAAGCTTTATTAATAAGCAGATAAAGTCTTTTTTACTTTTAATATTTATTTATTTAACCCATAAAATAAACCCTTATGACAGAAATACAAGTTCAGGGTGAAGGGTAAACTCCACTTTTATGTTGTGCTACCATTATTTAATGCAAGTCAGAGATTACAAATGGTGGCCCATTGGACCTAATTTTTGCTCTTAGATCTGTTTAGTTGGACTGCACATTTTTAAAATTTGAATTAGCTATCAGCAGTTAGAAATCGGGAGATGTCTCTTTGTCTGTCTCTCTCATGTGTACATGCACCCCCTCAGTCATGTTCAGCCTCTTATCAAAGACTTGAAAAATCTTGTAATCTGTCTTCGTTCCCACAATCTATGGCAACTGGTCCCTTGAAGAGCACCTACCAATACATCGCAATCTCTATCAGCTCCCTTCTGATTATATCACTGAGAGTGAGTTTGAGATCTGTGATAAACAGATCTGGAAAACAAAACTGGGAGAAAATGAGAGAAATCAAAAGAGAGAAAGAGAAGAAAGCAGAGAGGAAGGGGAAGAAACTATGAAAGAACCAGATATTTTTATGACTCAAGTGGTAAAGACTTCAGGATCGAAGGAGTTAAGTCCTCCTCATGCTCCCTATGGGTTTGGAATTTCAAATAGAATCCTTCTCTTAGACTCTTTAAGGTTTGCCACCTTAAAACCAGTTACATCAAATCTTTACATCTTTATTTAACCCAGAGAATTGATGCTAACACTCCCTCTCATAAGGGTGTTGTAAAGACGAAGATATTTATTTTTATCTCTTCTGTTGTTGAACAAAGGCACATTGGTAGGTAATTCAGAGTTGCTTTATAAATATATAACTAAAGTAAATATGTAATAGTATGAGGAAGAATCAGCTATATGTTGAAATATAAGCATAAAGACAGTTGCATAAAATGTCAAATATTTAAAGAAAGTCTTTCAAATATGATGTATTCTGATGCTTTAATTAAGTTTAGTACACCATTATAAAATTGTTTTTATTAAGAAATAATTTTTAATTTAGTTGTTAATATCAGTGTTTAAGATGCAGCACCATTAGAATATAACATAGATTTAATAACTACACTATCATTTTGCTTTCTTTCATGAACAGGATTTCTTACAAAAGCAAGAGTATAAGACATTAGAATATAACTTAACAACTACAGAAGTAGAGATGGAGAATGTAACCGCCTTCTGGGAGGAGGTAAGAATTCTTAATTCTTTTTTTTTTTTTTAAAGAGAGAGAGAGAGAGAGAGAGAATTTTTAATATTTGTTTTTTTAGTTTTCTGCGGACACAACATCTTTGTTGGTATGTGGTGCTGAGGATCGAACCCGGGTCACACGCATGCCAGGCGAGCATGCTACCGCTTGAGCCACATCCCCAGCCCAGAATTCTTAATTCTTAAAAAATCATGTTTAGAGGTTTTTCTTTGAGAGTCTACACTTCATCCCAATGGGAAGTAAGATCACAATGATGATGTAATTGATAGAACTGAAAGGAGAGACCACTTCTCTTAGTTTATAAAGTAAGAAGGAGAAGCTAGAAGTATTAGATGCAGTAGAAAAAAGCCATGAGATGTGTTTCACCTCAGACCAGGAACTTGTACAGAGATCAAAGGCTTTGAGGCTGGGTTTGAATCCTGGCTCTGCCATTTACTTCCATCTATTCTAAATCAAATTACTTTAACTTTGAGAAGCCTCTGGTTCTCTGCAAAATGGAGAGTATTAATATTTACCTTGAAAATTTGTTGTGAAGGGCACTGAGGTGATTTGTGTGAAGTATTCATTAGAGAACCAGGAATTTATTGGTTCCTCAATGAATGTTAACTTCTCAAATCTCAAGTTGTAGTCCAATGTGTTTATATACATCAGTCAACAAAAAGAAGTAGGAGAGATATACCAATGATTTTTAATTTTTTTACTATTTTAACTTATTTTATTCACTGTAAAAATTCTCTCATTTTTCTCAGTCATAACAAATATAACTTTATCCTCTAAGAAGCAATATTTGATTACTGAGAACACCTATTGAGTTCTTATTTCTTAATCACTTTTATCAGTTGAGTAAAGATAGGAATAGTAAAACTGATGTCCTGTTTCTGAGTCTCTCATAATATAGTAAATTTTATTTATTTATATATATAACTTTATCATTGAGATACATTTTACTGTATTTTTTAAAAGATGTGGGAAATAGAATAATTCTTCATCTGCCTAGTAAAATTGTTTTGTGGAAAAGTGTGTTGCTAAGGTTTATTTTAGTTCTTTGCATTTAGGAATTTCAAATGCCCTTCTGAACATAAAGGAGAAACATGAAATTTTCCCTACTTCTTTCTGATTATTGTTTTTCTACTTGGGTCTAAAAATCCTCCATTCCTTTCTTTCTCCATCGAATAAAAGAAGTAACATGCTTGAGCCCTCACTCTGTGCCAGGCGGCAGGATAAGCACTTTATGAGTTTTGCCTCCTTTAATTTCTTTTGGTTAGTTAGTGTTCCATTACTGTGAGGAAATACCCAAGATAATCAACTTAGAAAGAAGCAAGGTTTATTCTGGCTCCCAGTTTCAGAGTTTCAGTCCATGGTTGGTTGACCCATTGCTTTTGAGCCTGTGGTGAGGCAACACTTCATGGTGGGAAACAAAAAGAGAGATAGAGACCCAGATCCCAATATCCAGGGCATACTCTCAATATCCTCATTTCCTCCAACCACCTCTTAAAAGTTTAATGTCCTCCCAGTAGTATCACAGTCTGGGGACCAAGCCTTGGAACGAGATGGAGGAAAGAAATCAGGTCCAAACTAAAGCAGCTTATAACATTCCTGTGACCTAAATAATGTAAATATTTCCATTCCACTAATAAGAAAATGGAGACTTTGAAAACTTAAAGGTCTTGCCTCAGCTTACACAACTGACAAAGGCTGAAACTGGATTTTGGACCCAAATGTCAGAGTCTAGAGCTCTTTCACTGAGTCATTGTCTTCCATCTGCCTGTATTTTCCCCTCCAGCTGTATTTTTCCCTCCAGTCTGTGTCACTTGTCAAGCCCCCGACACTCCTTGATGGCACATTGTAGGATGTTGGTGCTTGTTAAGTCTCTACCATTTGTCTGAGACTTCAACATCCACATAGATGATCCTTTCAACACTACCCTTAGAACTTATATGACTTCCTCAAAAACTTTCTCTCTTCAACATATCCTGAGCTTTGTTAGTACTCAGATTTGTGTAGCTTTAGAAATGTCACATTCTCAAATCTGTTTCTTAGCCCAAAACTCCCAAGCCTTTGTCTCAAGTCTCTTAAGTCTACTTTCATAGCCTTTCAGTTTCATTAGATTGTAGTTATTCTAGTTCTCCCTTTGGACCCCTCTTGGCTTATCTTCTGCTTATTCTAAGACCAATCACTTTGGGGCTTCTCCCACCTATACTCTCAATTCCCTTTTCTTTTTGCTGAYTTTTTTTTTAATTTAAAATGCTCCCTTTATCAGCTTTGGAGAAGGAAGTGTTATCTGGGAAAATCAATATACTCTAATCAACTGCAAGTTTTATACATTTATTGTTTCAACCTCAATTTGGCCTGTTCTGTTCTTGTGGAATTAATGACTTAATTTAGATTTAGTGAGCTACTCTATCCAAATTATTTTAGCCTAAGATCATGATATGTAAGCCTGTTCTACCTGTAACTTCTGTGGTGATGGGCTACTGGTGTTCCCACCCCAACAAACATCTTCAGGCATCTCATGGTCTCTGTRGGTGACCTCACTGAGGTTTCACTGACATCAATGTGCTGATGCTTCTCCAATGCAAATCTCTTGCCTAGGTTTCTTCCTGAAGTTCATACATGTGTTTCCAAATTTCCCGCCTGCTTCTCATGCACTTCACAGTCACCACTCCCCAAGCTTCAGAAACCCACTTGTTCCAGTGTATTCTTCATTTCCTCTGAAGGCATCACCAGAGAAGTCAGTCCCTGATGAATTATATATGACTCCTCCCTCGCTCCAGATCTATGAGTAGGAAAAACTTCTTTTCCTATATAAGGAAGTCAAGGCTTAGAGAGTTTGAATAGTTAGAACAAGGTTGCTCAACTAGCTAGCATATAGCTCAAATGACAGCCTTGGCGTCTCTGACTCCAAAGCCCTTCTTCACTCATCATTCTGACGCTTACTAAAAAAAAAAAAAAAAAAAAAAAAAAAGGAGTGACTGTTGCTTTACTATATACAAAATGCTTTCAAACATGTCACCTCCTTTAGTGCATTCAGCTCAGCAAACAGAAGCTGTAATGTCTAAGACTGTCATGGCTTATCAAACTTTACCCATCTAGTTGAGAAGTGAGGAAAAGGCTGGAATCTAGGCACAGAGTACTGTGACCATTCCCCCCAAACTGCAGGGATCCCCTAAACATGGAAAATGCTCAGTCATAGTAGAAGTAAAATAAATATAAAATCAATAGTGAGATTCCATTTTCACACACACAACTACACACACGCATACACAGCCAAACCAAAACCCAACTGCAAGTGTTGATAAGGGTTCCTGAAAACTAGCATTCTCATATGTTGGCTGGAGGATAAGGTGGACTATTTTTGAAAGACATGGAATTTTTCATACATTTAGCTCTGGAAATTCTTCTTGTGGGAATTTATACCAAACAATAAAAACAAAAAAATATGTGCCTCAAGGTATAGCAAAGTGCATGTGTCCCAGATGTATTAAATTAAAAGAGAAACCATCAAATAGAGATTGGTGTATAGTTTATACTCTGTGACATATCCTGCATTTAAAAAGTATGTTAATAAGACTTAATGCTATGTGAAAATAGTTATGATTTATAACATCATAAAATAGGTCACAAGCCTTACATATAATTTTTATGAGTGTTCTGAAAATAATATATATGCTTATAAATGTAAATAAATACCATATTTATATTTGTAAAAGAATAGAGGGTTATCAACTGAAACATTAAATATGGTTGTTTCTCAGTGGTACATGACAAGCAGTTTCTATTTTCTGCTTTCCTCTGTTTTCCAAATTTCTTGAAATAACTGTCTTTTGTGATCAAAATAAGAGACTTTAGTAACAGCAATCTTCCATTGATCCAAGTCCTTAATAGATAAAAGTCTTGTTTCTAAGCATAGCTACCCAAAGTTTATTATCAGCCTTTGTTAGTGACCCATCCACTCACTATTTTTGAGGCATATTTTGTTTTTTGTGTGTTCAGATCTGTCTTCTAGGAACACCTCTAACCATTTCTTGGTCTTGTGCAATTCTACTTCCATYGTTCATAGCTAGTGCATATGTCATTTATTTGGTCAAGGTTGAGTTGTTTGCTCTCTCAGATGTATTCCCATGGTACTTCATGTGCCTTTTAATTATAGTACCACACACACCAAAATATTAATATCTATTTTATATGTCATTCTCCCATGTGAGATTTTTGAAGTGGACTATAATGCAGAGGTGGTGTTCAATAAATATCTATTAGATACACATGAATAAGAGACTAACAGATGTCTTTGCCTCATTTTAAAAGACTTCAGTGACCACTCCATGAAAGCTCTGCTTTTAATTTTGGGCTGAATGATATTAGCCACTTATATAAAAACAAGAAGCAATAGTCTTTGAGCTTCATTGCTTTTGTGTACCCTAAAAGAATGTTGAAAAACTGTACACATCTGATGTATTTTTAAATTGACTTACAAATGTTTCAACATAGATTTACGTGGTAGTGAAGGATATTATTTCCTGTTTATTGTATATTATCTAAATATATTAAATAGATTTTTGTCAACACTTTGGTGCTGTAGCTTTAGGGTGTCCAACTTATGGAAAATAAATAAATTTATGAAATTACAAAGCCAGTTAGCTAAATATGACTTGTTTTTTATCCAAAAAATGTGACTTGAAACTACAGATAGTTAATAATCTATATTAAGTGCTAATAAAATTAAATAATTAGTTAAACAACTAGTTAAGATGCCTTATTCCTCTCTCATTTCCGAAATTTGATTCTAAGATAATACACACTGATTGACTTAAGTTTGAAATCTGGGTGAAATAAAATGCTGCCTCCTTCAATATTTCTGGCTTTGCTTTTATGGGACCCTGACCCTCTTTCAAGAGAAAACCCTTCCTTTATGGATCCTTTGTTTTTTCAGTCCCAGAGGATTTTATGCTCTGGAGAGTCCAACATAGCAAGACCAGCACACTCTTGCTTAGTGAGAAGGCTATTGCTTATGAATAAAGAGGGAAGGACAATTGTGAGATGGAAGTGGCTTAGGAGAAATGACAGCAAGCAAATTTTCAGGCAACTTAATTTTAGGAAAGAATGCCTTTGGATGTTGAGTTCTGAAAATAGATTTCCTTGAAACCAGGTGCACCAGCTTTCTCCTGATCAATCTTTAGGTCTGTCTACATTGGTTTGAAGACCATTACCCCAAATGTTCCATGGAGGCAAATGTTCCATTCGAGTCACCTTTCAATTTCATCTCATTTATAGTCAACATAATTAAAGAATCCTTTGAGCTTCTCAGAGGAGGGGAGCTACCTGTGTGATAGTGTGATAGAAGTCAGATTTGGGTTGTAAGTTTACCTGTATCTTACTGTTTATGTGACTTGGGTTATTCAACCTTTCTGATTCAGTGCCTACAGCTTTGAAAGAGGAAGATCATAAAATCTACTCTATATATTATGCTGAGGATTGAATAATAACTTGTATGTGTACAGCCTAAAGGAGAAGGGATGTGTGTATATGTATATTCAGTCTTTAATTAATTTAAATTAGCATTGAAGTTTGATAATAGGCGAAGTTCTGAGAAAGGGCAATTTTGTTCCAGTTAAATATTGTGCTTATAATTTTCAGATGTTTGGAATCATGTACTCTAGAAAATTTCTCTGCAATTATGTACTATTAAGAAATAATGTACGCTTTGTAATGGATTTTGTGCCATGTGATTTTCAAACCACTCATACATAAAAGTACTCATAAACTACCTAAAAAGCCTATCTTTTATGTCTTTTATTCTTTTTTAAACAGGGATTTGGGGAATTATTTGAGAAAGCAAAACTAAATAATAACAATAGAAAAATTTCCAATGGTGACAATAGCCTCTTCTTCAGTAACTTCTCCCTCCTTGGTGCCCCTGTATTGAAAGATATCAACTTCAAGATAGAAAAAGGACAATTATTGGCAGTTGCTGGATCTACTGGAGCAGGCAAGGTAGTCTCTTTTATTCCTCAATGTTAACAACTTAATTTGGCATGCATTTCTTCTTTTTAGTTTTTTTCTAGTTTGTAGTGTAAGAAGGTATTCTGTAGAAATTCTTAAAGGGAATCAGAATACTTGGGTGTAGTTTCTCTTATAATATAAATTGTTTAATTGATAAATTCCTCTTGCTTTTAATTTCCTCTTATGTTTCCCAGTAACTTTTCTTACATATTTATATTTTGCATAGTGTTCAACACATGTGACAGGTTTCAATAACTTTATTGAGCAAATGAACCATATATTTTATCAGTTTTTAGGAACTATTGAAAAAAAATCACCTCTTAAATTTGACTTCACTAAACTCATAATTTTTAAAAAGGTCCCCATTTTGTTGACATGAGAATTTTGGGAAATGATTCATATTTGCTTATACTATATGATAAAAAATGATTTTTTGAGAAAATGTTGATTTCTTCATTGGTCATCCTCCCCCAGTCCCCACCCATCCCCAAGAACAACTTATATAAATTCAGGATATTTGGAAATATATCTGACAAAATCTAGTATGTTAGAAGGAAAAATAGCTTAAGGATTTAACTTTATTTTCCAGGAGGAGACATAGTGATTTTCAAGGGTATGAGCTATCATGCAGTTAAAGAAAAACACTGTTTTTCTTTTAACCATGGAGGAGGTAAATTTAAAGGACATGAAGGAATAAAATGAAAGATAATAAAGTGCTTTCTAATATTGGAATCAGCTACTAAGGGCAATAGGTATTTGCTTTGGAAGTCTACAAAAAATAGTTTCTTGTTCTCATTTGATTGTTATTTTAGCTATAGTACTTTCTAGAAATGTAAGAAAATGTTTAGTGATTTATTAAAGTTTTTCAAAATACCTCCTGGAATTCTGTACAAGGACATAAATCAGAAAGAAAAGAAAGAAAAAAAAAGTAAGTATAAAAGGAAGGAGCAGTGATTCTACAAGGTAAAAATGTCAATAAAAATAGAAATTAAAGACTTCTGAAAGGCAAGTATATATTAATATTTAGGATGGGGAGAGAAGTATTTTGAAGAATTCAGTCTGAGATTTTGCAGGGGGGATCCACAGAAAACTTCTTGCCCATGTATGTAGTGTCCACAGTGTTAGTAATACATTTGCTTATTTTTCTCCAGTTGTTTCCCTACATGTCACACAGGTCTTTTAAATAATGTAGCTATAGTTGTGCATTTTCTTCTTTTAAAAAATCAATTCAGCATGTTATTTTTTTCTTCTATTTCTTATATAATATTGCAATTTTCACTCTGAAAAGAAAATGACACCAGAGGAGGAACTGATACTAGATACTAGGTTAGAGATGATCTCCACATGGAAGTTTGCTTGTGACAGGATGGAATGTGTGTTTCATGGTATTTTAAAAATTAATTGTTTATGTTTTGAAGATCAATTCCATGAAAGATGTACAAAAATAGCTTTGGAATTGTAAACTGCAAGACTTACCAGCAAATAAATTTCAGGCAGTTCCTTTAAAAATTGATGAGCAGATAATTACTGGCTGGAGCTGCAGCTGCATCTTAACAGGGAGTAACTATGAAGACAGCTGAGGAAGCCAGTGGTATCCTAGGAATAATTGCACACTTCTGAGAAATAGTTTGCCAATCCCACCTTTTGTACTGTTAAGAATGGGATATTTTATCATTTGGATTAAAGTTCTAGATAAAAATTAAGATTGAATAACTGAAAATTTTAACATTTTGAGTTACATTTTATCTCACTCAATTTGGTAATTTGTACCAAAAGCCTTGAAATAACCTAATAATTCTTCCACTTGTATGACATATCCTAGTATATTTATAGAGATTTTACATAAAATTCTCCTGATCATAGCACACTCTATGTATATGGATGTTCTTGATGTTTTGAGTATGAAAAGTTCTCCAGGATATATAATTGAGAAAAGCAATGAAAAAAAAACTGTCTATATATAATGCACTTTTTATATGAAAAGAAAAGTGGGGAACAATAAAAATATATACTGATTACATACATATTAAAACATTTCTGGAGAGATACTAAAAACACCAAGAAGACTGACTTCACAGCATTGCTTTTAGTAATCAAATAGTGGAAAGAAAAGCACATATCAAGTTGTTATCTCTGAGATTGAGGTTCAGTTTACATTTCTGAATTTTCTGAAGTTTCAGCAAATTAAGATACTATTTTATTGACTAAATGATAAATTCATGTTCAATTTTATCACTTCTCTATTATAATCATCTAGACTGAAAGGAACTATGACTTCTTCATTTTTTCTAGCCCAAGTATCATCATAGTGCTTAGCACACAATAGGTGCTTTTCACCATTTTAATTGAACATCTATAGGAAGATACGTTTTTGTTGTTATTCCAACCCACATAAAGTATCCTGTATTGTGTAGGCTAATTTGGTTTACTTTATGAAATCGCACTGGTGTAGGAGTCTATACCACCACTGCCTTTGAGTGGAAGGTGGCATAGGGACTCCCTGGGGTCTGGGGATTTTAGTCCTTCTTTTTCTCAACAATAACTGAAACAATCATTTGGCCTTGTTGACAAACCCTGACAACCCATTGTTTATATCACGAGTCCTTGTCCAGTTCTGGTACTGAGTTTTAGCTTGACCCTGTAACTGGACATCAGATGAATAAAGCAAGCTATTAGCTCATATCTTTGTACTTTTTAAACGAAAATATAAATTGACAAAGGGTTTTATCAGCCTTTTGAAATTTTAGGAGATAAGAAATTGAATAAAAATATAATTGAATATACATACATACACAACCATCCATATCTGTGGGTTCTGTACCCTTGGATTCAAACAACTGCAAAGACATTAAAAGAAAATGTTGTGTCTTTACTGAACATGTATAAAAATTTTCTTGTCATTCCCTCAATAATAAGTGTAACAACTACTTACATGGGATTTGTATTAAATTAGAAATGATTTTAAGGTATATGGGAGAATGTGTGTAGATTACATGCAAATACTACACTATTTTATAGAAGGGACTTAAGTGCCTGTGGATTTTGTTGTTTTCAGGGGTTTATTGAACTGATCTCCCTGGGATACCAAGGGATGACTATATTATGATTTTTAAAGAAAATGTGTATATTTGTTTTAGCAGTTATATTTATAAGAATAACTTTATGGCTGGGCATGGTGGCTCATGCCTGTAATCCCAGCAGCTGGGAAGCTGAGGCAGGAGGACTGTGAGTTCAAAGCCAGCCTCAGCCACTTAGTGAGGCCCTAAGTAACTTAATGAGACCCTGTCTCAAAATAAAAATTAAAAAATGAGCTGTGGATGTTGCTCAGTGGTTAAGCACCCCTGGGTTCAATACCTGGTACAAAAACAAAAGAAAAAAGAACTCATGTTAAATCTTTTATTCTATGTCACTCAGATGAGCTCTGATAAAATCAGTGTTTTTTTCTTCCTCTGCTACCTTCTTTTCTCTGACTTGATTGTAGTGAATAGTATTATCTAAACATTTCTTTTTGTATTGATAAATATGTTTGTGTGACTAGAATTGTTAACTTTAAGTGATATCCTTTGACTTGCAGCTTTTCTTGATAAGGCAATCAGCAAATTTCCCCTATACCCTACTTTTCCTTTGCCCTATTTATATGCCCTATTTCCTTTGTTTTTTATATCTCTCTATATTTTTTACTTTTAACTTATTGTTAGGGTGTATAACTTACTTGATTTCTGTTCTTCAACTCTAATTTTCCCATTAGTTTCAATTTTAGTTCACATCTTTGTTCACTGATAGTTCTTTTGGGTTACCATCTCTGAATAATTGTATACTTCAGAGAAGTCTCTTGGAACAACATTACCTGACTCTTCCTCTTTTTGCCTAGTCTCTCCTTTGTGAAACGATAATACTGCATCTACTTTGTAATGCTGTTGCAAATAATGAATAAATTAAAAGCACAAGTGGTTAAAGCCAGCAGCCAGTAGAGTGAGCACTCAATAAGTGTCACCTATTACTAATCTTTCCTAGACTTCCTCCAGATCCACCCCAGTAATCTGAAGTAGGTGCCCCTTTTACGAGATCCTCTATCACAACACTGACACTGTGTGTTGTCATTGTCTCTTTCATTCCTTTGTATCTTTTGTGCATAGCAGATTACCTGAAACAGGTAGTACTTAGAACATTTTAAATCAAATGTGTTTGAATCTTTAGAAATCAGAATATATATTTCTGTTTAGTATGATTATTTGAAAGTAAGTGAATACTGATAGTGATTTGATCAAGTAACTTAATAACAATGATTTTTATTTCCAGACTTCACTTCTAATGATGATTCTGGGAGAACTGGAGCCTTCAGAGGGTAAAATTAAGCACAGTGGAAGAATTTCATTTTGCTCTCAGTTTTCCTGGATCATGCCTGGTACCATCAAAGAAAATATTATCTTTGGTGTTTCCTATGATGAGTATAGATACAGGAGTGTCATCAAAGCATGCCAACTAGAAGAGGTAAGCAATTACATGAAAAATGGCCAATTATGCATTTTAAACCTTCAAAGTACCCAAATTCTTTCTTTCTTTATCTATTCAATCAGTCATTTTATATACATTGAAGTTTTGTCTAGGAGTAAGCCACTGTGGGTGAATTATTCAATAGAACACGTGAACTCTGCCTGAAGAAGCTTGTAAATACATCAAATAGATGAAAGTTACTTTCTAAATGATGGACTAATTTGGTCACATTAAAAACTCTTTATGAAGTGATAAGAATTGTATTCACACATCAGTGAGATAAATATGTTCAGTGTACTTTTATATGGCATGTGTTTTTGCTCCAAATTTACATTAAGAGGATTTTAACAATTTTAATAACACCATCACCTAATGAAATGAATATTAATCTGATAGTAGAGCATTAGAGACAAAATTACCTTTTTTTATACCAGGGATTAAACCCAGAGGTTCCTAATCACTGAGCCACATCCTAACCCTTTGTTATATTTTATTTAGAGACAAGGTCTCGCTGAGTTGCTTAGGACCTGGCTAAGCAGCTGAGGCTGGCTTTGAACTTTCAATCCTTCTGGTTCAGCCTTCTGGGATTTGAGGCATGGGCCATTGTGCTTGGCCAAAATTATATTAAWTTTTTTTCTTTGACTTTGGACATAGAACCATATAATCTCTTGATGTAATCCCTTGTGACTGAAATTCTCTAAAACAAAGTAAAGATGATGCTGTTGTTTTAGTTCCTAGGAATTGAGTAATGGGCTACTTATTTGGAAATTACATAAAGTATTCCATATTCCAAGTGAAGCCAATATATAGATCTTAAAATTGTTTGATGCTGGGTTCAATAATTATTGATGTTAACATTAGGCCAGAGAATATATTATTATGAGGTTTATTGGAAATATTACTTCAATAGTACATGTACAAATATGTCACAATGACTAATCCCACTATTATGTATAAGTATAATGCACCAATAATTTTTTAATGAAATACTTGGTATCTTTGATAGATGACATTTGACACTAATGCATTCATTTGTATCACGTTCTATGAAACAAATTGCAATGGAACTTAAAGTACAGTATACAAAATATGGAAAAAAGCTGCCTGTGGATTAGAGAGAGCTGTGAACTGGTGTAAGGGGCTCTCCATGGGTGCACTGACTTATTCAACAGCAGTTTTCTTAAAATTCTAATTCTTTTATTTTCTGTCTACTCTGAGAGCTTAATGAAAAGAAAAGCTATCCTATAAAAGTATTAAATTTGTCTTGAAGATGTCCGTCATCCTCAAAAGTCCTTCATTCAGGAATAGTTTTTCACAGCCCAGATGGTAGAACATTCTGGACTTTTTAATAAAAAAAATGAAGTGTTTCTAAAGAACACAGATATTTATCTGGAAGGAAGCAGGGATGTTGGTAATAAATTATTTATTTACRAGTAGAAAGTGTTAGAAGATTCCTGGTAGATTTTATTTTTTTGCTTTGAATATAAATTTTACTACAGAAATTATTTWATAAATAGTGGTTTGAGCCCCCCAAGTAAACAAAATATATTTAGCCCAAATATAGCTTAGGCATATTACTAGTAATAAATTCAGAGCTATGGGTCTTTCATTCATGAAGTGAGCATTTGCCAACTTTGGAATACTGTRCTAGACTCTGGGTACTAAATTAAATACAACAGTCTATTTTTGAAAGGTTTGTAGCAGATTGCTCTGTATTAATAAGGAAGGATCATATGGTATGTGACTTGTACCTCAATAAGCTATTGAAAATAATGAAAAGAAGAAGAAACAACAGGACATATTCTTCCTTTTTTTTCTGAGTGCATGGCCAGCCTTAATTTTTCAAAGCATATTCACAGGTTATACTACTACCACACCTCTCTAAAAGATACCCTTTATCCATTACTAATCAATTCACATTTCTTGTGCCTAATTTTACCTCCTTCCATCCTGAGCAACTACTAATCTAATTTCTTTTTTTTTTTATTTTTTATTGGTCGTTCATAACATTACATAGTTCTTAATACATCATATTACACGGTTTGATTCAAGTGGATTATGAACTCCCGCTTTTACCCCGTATACAGATTGCTGTATCACATCAGTTTCCCTTCCATTGATTGACA